ACAAACGGTAAACACCACAGCGTACACTATTGAGTTATGGATGCACGCGGGAGGTTGCTAAGCACGAAAGAAGCGTAAGAGTCGCTCCAGGCGATAGCCGAGAGCGACTCTAGCTTCTTGAGTGCTTAGCAAACCTTCCAAGTGCATCCATAACTCAATAGTGTACGCTGTGGTGTTTGCCACTTGTTTTATAACATAACATTGATACATTGTAGCTAAAGAGTTCCCTTTTATTTAACAAACCTTACCTGACCAGAAAAAACAAGCACGCGCGGAAAAATAGTCTTTGCATTTGCTCACGTCAGCAGCGTACACCCTTGGGCAAATGGGGGACGCTAAATTGACCAATCAGAGCACGCGCTTTACTTTGGTTATGTTATAAAAGTTTGTATCCACAGGCCCAGATGGAAAACTTTCATAACAAAAATTCTACCGGCTGAAGTTCTCTTACTTCATATCATATATAAACAATTGCCTCCATTCCATGTGAAAATATGCAAGGAGGAAAACTCAAGGATTCAAGAAACAGCCAAATTGAGGCTAATAAATAAATGGCCAAATATATAGTTTATTTCCGACCACTTGCAGTCTATAGGCTGAATTACTGGTACAGTTTTAAAAATATACACACTGGAAACCTAAATAAATACACATAATACTTTACACAGGTTGATACTAAACGGTAACGAAATTTTTAAAACGCTCAGTTCTCACAAGTGTGCGGTGAGAAGATTTGCCTGATCGCAGACACATTTGCGTTGTGCTGTGAAGTACCCGCTCATGAATATGGGGGTACAAGGGATGGCCTGGGCGAATTTTACGAATAAACCGCTTGCATGCAGCTACGCGGCGCGCCGACAAGGCCTGAATGGCGGCCTTTTCAAGCGTATGTTCGTATGGAAGGTCAGGCTATATAATAGAAAGAGCCCTTTTCTGGACGTCTTCCAGTGTGTTATCCAAGTACTTTGGCAAGTCAGCAAACACAGCTGACGCGCACTCCAATATAGATCTTACAAGTGCACAGTACACAGTGCACAGTACACAGTAATGTGCACAGTGCACAGTACACAGTAATGTGTTTACCATCCCTCAAATGTTTCTAATAAAGGCCGCTCGTTTTAGGAGACCTCGCCTCAAAATAACCTATGATAAAATAATTATGTTTTCAGTTCAAAATTATTTTTTTCTATTCACTTTAACAGATGCACTCGGGATGAAAACTAAGCGTTCGAATCGAACAAAAATAAAACATTTTGAATTCTGGGATGTTCTTCATATTATTGGCTCCATCACGTTACGATTTTGGACCAGTGCTTAAACAGCAGGTGAAATGTTGTGTAAGCGTCTCTGCGAAAGGCACATTCAGACAACTTGTGTGGCAAAACTAGGCACAGCTATCGCACCCAGGCCAATCCGAGTGGGGAGATTCATTACTATGGGTTCTGGAGTTTTCCGAAGCGATTCAAAAATCATTCAGATCGAGAACTCAATTTCTGTAGAGTTCCCTAGCTTTATTTCCCGGAAAAAAAGTAGAGATTGCAAACATCAAGTGAAAAGCATGCACGCCAGCTGTGATTAACGCCTTGCACAACCGAAGTCGCGATACTTTCTTTTCTACTTCACATGCATCACCATTTTCCTACCGTTTCTTCCCATTACTTCCCTTTACAATGACACTGAGTTCAATCGGCTTGCCACACAGTGTATTATACATTACACCCTTTGCTCTATGTCCCATATTTACTGTTGATGTACCAGCCAGTGTACCAGTACAGATGTACCAGTACAGATATCAATGACACACCCAAAGTTATTAATCGCTAGCTGCAGTTTTTTATATGCATCAAACTTAAAGACATCATGTGCACTTGGTTCCAGTTGCCACCTTACTGAATTTCGGTTTTACAATCTACCTAACAGTTGACTGTTCATGTTTAAAGTCTCTACTTCACTGCTATTTTCCAAAACCTTCTCAGTAGTTCTACACCGCTAAGTATACCATGCAAGGTTGCAACCATTCCTCTTGTTGGACTTTTAGAGACTTTCGTTTTGCATTTTTCAGTTCTCGCACACCCTAAATCAGTCCCTCACAACACTCATTCAAATAAACTGATAAATTCTGAAAACAGTTGATAACTCCTTTACCAGTCTGTTCTGCGTGCAGTTCAACACCTCTACATCTCCGAAACTCAAATGTCTCGTTTAGCAACCCTGCTTATCCTTTTGTCTGTGAGAGAATTTTCAACATGCTTTCCTTCTTCTTAGCAAAAGCGTCTTTGACTAAAGAATACTTGTGTTCTCGATGGTCCGCAATTGTACGACCCTACAGATGGCTTTTTCTTATGTCTCACAAAACAGCTGTAACAACTCTCCGTCATGTTCATGGAAAAAACTGGGTTTTGACACAACAACGATTCCCATGTTTTTTACCACTTCAAGAGACACCAGACGATGTGAGATCGTGCTACGCCCTCGCGGGTGACCCTGAAAACAAAAATCACAAAGAAACTGACAGCATGTGGTACATCTGTTGACAGGAGGATCCCCACTCTTACAGTTGTCACACTCCGGAGCACTACTTACTGGTGGTTCATAAATTAATGATGGAGAAATTATCTGGCAGAGAATTAACTTTACCTTCAGGAATCTTTTTTAAAAGAAAATAACTTTACAGTACCTCCATTTTCAAGAAAAATAGGTTGGATGACCTTTTTCTGGCCGTGGCCAATAAGTGCTGGTTGAGGTTATCGTGTTAACTCCTCGCCTTTTGTAAGACTAATTCGAAGTCACATCACCACCATTCAATTCTGAATCACTCCCACAATGTTAAGAAGACGTTTGTGCGCGTGCGACTCGCGTGCGCGTGCTTTGGGACTACGTAGGCTAATAATATCGTAAGCAAATCACGCGGACCTTTTAATTTTGACGTGTGCGAATTTCTAGAGGGAGTTGAAAGGTTTTTAGTTTATCGAATAGCTGTTTTGTTTAATGGTCGTTGTCGTTTACCATGAGTCTACAGTTTACCGTGTTGGAATTAAAGTGTTTGTTTGGATTTCCCGTTTCGCTTCCGAACA